ATGTAGAAAAGGAAACTGTGCAGAATATTAATCGTCAGAATTTATAAATGCAGGAAATAAAAGAATAACAATCATTCTAAAACGATTTAATACGCAAAAACGTCTCACACAAGGTATCCTATCAGCGCACAGCGACCTTGAGCAATTTTACTTTCCTGATCGTCCATAGTTCATCCAGAAATTCATTGGCGAATCAACCGAAATATACGACACCTTCGGTAACTTGTTTGGACGAAATGACTGCATGTACACAAAATCCAAAAGTGCACCCATAATCCCAAACCGGTGGGACATTTAGTAACGTAATATTCGATTAGCAGTGTACTGTTTAAAAACTCAAGTTACGCATGGGCGCAGAAATCTTCTGACGAACAGAGGGGGGAGTGAGATACAAGTAATTCAAGATACATGACCTGCTAAACGATCGTTACCTCACGTCAGAGACTTTTGTGCCCAAAAAATAGGCTAACATATGACTTTAAAACGGCAATTGGTAAGTGGGCAAAAGCCTCGTCGAATCCCCGTCAATAGGAAAATCTAAGAGATATGATGGGATAAAACTTTGTCAAACAGGAAGTCTAGTTTGCCCATGCGAGGGCGAAAGCATGTTAGAGAATTTTGTTTTACTCATGCACGAAGTTGGTGAAAACTACCACGGCAGAAGATGGCCCGCTAAGCCATTGTAAGCTCAGGAGCCAAAAAACCGAACACCGAGAGATGCGTTTATCGAAATAATGTATGGGCAAGGAGCCTAGCAGCATAAGATGCAACCCATTCAAAAGAAGATCGATCAAAAATAAACAAGCATACGATATTGATGAAAAGTAAGTATTTATTTCAAAACGAGGTCAGATCACTGGTAGTACAGCTCGAGGTTCATTCCATCCTTAATCTCGTAGTCTCCGAGGGTAACATGGTCCTTGAAAGTGATGTACCACTTCTTTAGTATAATTCGATCCCAACTGGTGCCAGACTGGGCTGCGATCAGCTTCTTCAAATCACCGATGGTGTCGGAGGGGTTGCATTTTACGCGTACCTTCTTCCCCAGACGATCGTTTGCGGTAATTTCAATCATTCTATCAACAAAGCGGAATGAAAAACAGTACACCAAGACTCGGTACAATTTTTCAAATGCGTGAAGAGTACCAAGTAGCTTGGATGCGAAGCATTCACATCTAAGTTAGTGCTTCGATAAGAACTTAATAGATGGTGCGCATTGACCACCGGGGAAGTAGTGAATTCTAAACGGATTGAATAAGGCTTTCATGCCATAAAGGCATTTACTTTCATCTAAGTCTGCAAGATACAAGTGTCCAAGTTGGTTGTTAACAGTCACTGGCAATAATACTCTAAGCTTAATGGATAAGTTAATTAGATTGCAAGGTGCTGATTCCCAAACAAATTCCCGAAAATGGTTCGAGGCTACAATTTCCGTATTTTCATACTCCACGTGCCTTATGTCTTATTCACATTCGTAATTCCAGGAATCCCAAGTAAAAAGCAACATTCTTTACTTTTCTCACGACTAATCCAGGTATCTTTTGTAAGACTCGGATTACGGTGGCTATATACTACTCTTCACACAAGGGCATTAGTACCGGCGATGGATAAAAATGCCATTGGTTTTTTGCTCGTCCTGACTATCTTTTGATTTGACAAAATTAACTTGGCTAGATCTCTTACATTCAAGAAGCGCAGCCCTAAACTTCACCGAGTAGGCACACTTTTTACTCATGTTCATTACCTTATTTCTCAAGTTTACACTACGTAACTTTAAATGTTGGCAGATTAGTTGAGAATGTGAAGAACATTTTAAAAATTGACTACAGGGAAACAGCAGAACTGAAAGATGCCGAGCCGTAATATCACGACTAAGTTTATAATCTTATGTCGAACTAGTGGTTTTAGAACGCTATGCGGAAGTCGGCCTCGAAAAAGCTGTAAAGAATATTTATTTCAAAAGTACAGTAGGTGGTAAGGATATTAGCCTTTTGAAGACATTACATTAACCTCAAAAACATTTCAGAAGCCATTGGAGGCCTTCTCGAGCTACTTGATGTTAAGGCTACACATACATCACAAGCAATTACTATGCGTTAAGCAATGAAGTCAGACCCGACTGTCACAGCAGGAAACGTCTGAGGTTGCTCACTGGATCTGGTGCGGCTGCCGGCAAAGTAATTACCTCAAAGAAAGTATGATATTTTTTTAAAAAGGATGACCAAATGTGCTGCAACAGTCAGGATGGAAGGCGTTAGTTCTCACTTCGCAGCTCATTTGACTAGACCCAGCCACATCTTTCAGTTTGACGAACCCGACAGTTTCAAGAGAACTGACAACGGCATGAGGCGCGCCCCGTTTCAGTCACGATTAACCGGTTCGCAGTTCGATAAGAAGCACCGTAAACTCCTCCCTCCATATCAAGTGTTGAGACATGGTGTGAATAACGTAACTGACCATGCGGGGAACGCACAACCGAACACCGCCTTCAGCAACAATATCAGCGAGTCATATTTCCGAGTTATTATTGTACCAATAATCAATACTGGTAAGTACGAAAATCGGTGGTGAATGCGGTAGCTGCTAATCAAGGCGTCTGTGCATCTAAACATGCAAAGGATCTGAGTAGACTTAAAGATGTCAGACGTTCATTGTTAGTTGTTATGGCAGTCTTGATATGAGTCATTCTTTGAAAACTTTTGAGGTGCCATTCAAGACCAAGAGGGAAAGCAGCATTCCATATCATACTAAGTTACAAAACAGACGAGACCAATACATCTCCTCCAAATCGAAATTCGTGTTGGCTGAGATGCCTAAACGATATGTACATTGTAAGATACACCCCAGGATAACTTACTAGCGATAACACACGAAGAACCAGCCGGGGCAACATGTTGTTATTTTCGGCGACGCCTCCGAAGACGTAGACAACCGTCGCAGTTGCAGATGACAGAAGTTCATAGCGCCTATCTGGAATGTAGCTTTACATATCTCACTAAATACTCTATTCAGACGTTTCCCATGACTGCTCATTAGAGTCGAATTCATTTTCCAAAGAGATGGTGTTGAACAGCACGAGCACTGTGGAGGCTGAGTATATAAAGACGTTCATCTTCTGAGATAAGATTGAACAGGTCTAAAGTTTGGCAACATTTAGTAATGTTTTAAGGAAAATAGACGTGTTTTGTGACTGCGTCATTTCAGTCACTCGTTCGGTATGCCTCAATGTGATCAACAGGATGACATACATGTCCAGCTTATGTGAACCATACGGAAATGACGTTAATCGATCTATCCTAACCGCTTGATGGAAGGGCTATTCCATTATGGATTGCAATGCTGGTTTAGGGGCCTCGCAGGTCGTCGAATAGTGACATGTAGTCAAAATGTGGAAGCGTGGTCGAAAAGGCGAGGGAGACTGAAATGTCAAACTCCGGCTTATTTGCCTTCGCTGGTCGGGATAACTGATCCTCAGAGCAAAAGGACCCAGAGCTTGATTGGTTGACGCCAATGCAATGAGTTAATACTTCCGACCGAATTTGATGGCGTGGCGAGCGTTTGGTTTAAGCGTAGGATGCCAGACTTCATGATCAATGACCGAAGAATATAAGTCAAGTCAAGTTTATAAAGGGAAATATAGGCAAACGCCTTTGAACTCCCTTTGGAGCTCCAGGCTAAGAACTTGCCCGTATAGTCGTATTTAATTGGCCGATACCAACTCTCGCTTATGTAACTGAATGGATA